CCCCAAAACCCCAAAACCCCAAAACCCCAAAACCCCAAAATCCTAAGCCAAAATTGAAATATTATTCCAAGATGAAATTATCTAGAATCCTAATCCTCCTCATCCTCCTGATATTCCTGCTTCACCAGTGCCAAGCTAAGCCTAAACTTATCAAAAATATTGAAGAGAAAGTACTCCAGCCAGCCAGAAATTTCTTCGCAAGTTTCTTTAAAACAGCAGGGTAAGTCCTGAAGACTCCACTTGGAAGATAGCCTAGCTTTACATTGGGGATGAACTTTGGGAGAAGTAGAGGGCGAATGGCTCCTAATCCTTGTATAGTACGGTAGCGAAAGCGATCTGAGGCAAGGCATGCAGCGAAGGAGTAAGCACGGTTTTTTGAAAGCAGCCAAAAGATCTTTCTATAAATTTGTTCTAGAGTTTAAGCCGATGTATCATTGGTTATTTAATAGTTCATATTTTCTTCATCCCATGAAGATGTTGCACTGAGAAAGCAATCTAATACAGAGTTATAGAAGAGAGGACATATAGTCCACGATTATAGAAAGTTTATAGAACAACACATGCACGATTGAGACAAAGAGTCATGACCTGAAGATATCTTAAACATTAATGAAAATTATGTCTTACAGAGGCCAGGATATCCGACTACACCTATTTGTGAAGAGGAATCGATTCCTTGCGAAGCACTTAAGAGTGCCATAGAGGTTATAAACAAAGATTATGTAAAGAAACCTCATCATGAAATGAAATTCCTAGATATGTCTCGTGATCCGAATCGTCAAACTCATTTGGACAATAGTACACTTGAAGGAATCGTCTGAGTATCTGGATTATTTAGTCAAAAAGATAATTTTAAAAAGCAATGGGGTGGCGTTATATCAACAGCCGAACCTCACAAGCCAGTTTTTGCATTCAAGTGGCCATCCGATAACAAATTTAGTGCAATCTTGAACGTGTGGAGTAAGTCATTTGGGTAATTCTGGGAGGTTTAAGGCACAAAGAGGGGAATTTTGGGCGGTGAAGGGGCTGGGAGGGAGGATTGAAGGGGAAGAGGCTGGGAGGGAGGGGTGAAGGGGGAAGGGGTGTCTGAGTTGGTGGAGAGGTAGTGGGGTAAAGGAATGGGATTATGATAAGAGATTGGGGATTTATTGTAGATTAGTTAAGAGTTTGGTTACTAATTTAGTATTTATGGGAGAATTTAGGGTGGTATACATTCATTTGTCAGCAAATATCAAAATTTTGGTTAATAGTTGAATCACTCCGGCTTTCTGGAAATCAGCTGAAAATTTTCATAAAAATGTAATATTCTGTTCCTGATACTATGAGAAATCTGCTTTTCGTCTTACTATATTATTCATAATCTGCCCTTGAGGCAGGGTTCAATGGAAATTTTTAAAAGAGCAAGTTAGGCTAATTCATAATCAAGTTAGTACCTACTCCATCCTGCCTTACTCTCTAAGTTATTGCTTGCCTGAGCCAAAGAGAAGTCATCAAATCTTTTGTAAAATTTAAGCAAACATAAGATTCCCTGCAATTCATTACTAATTTCTATTCAAAATAATATAGTCTGGATAACTTCTATACCTCATATCTAATAAATACGATAGCTGGACATAATAAATGATCTGGATGAGTTAGCTAATCATATGCACCTGCACAGCTATCCCACTCAGAATCTCTACGCTAAAAGTCTAAAATCCCGCCCAGATTTGTACTAAAGTTGTGTGGGAAGGGGGTTTTATAGAATAAATCTTTTTGTGAGGAGTGATTTGAACGGGATTTTGGAGGAAATTGGGAGTGGTTAGGGGCTCTGGAAGAGGAATTTGGGGGAAGAGGGTGGGGGTTTTGGGGTGAGATATGGGATTTTAGGGAATACGTGGCATTGTTAGATGTGATTAGTAGGCTTGGCTAGGATTCAGGAGTTGAGTTATTTGAAAGATTTTTTATTAGATAGAAATAAAATATTTTTACCTCTTTAGAATTATTGGCGCCTCTCTTCCTTGCTCAAAGATAGAATCTAGATTTGCTAATTTCATCAATGGATATCTTCTCCTATTTTTAATTTATGTTAAATTCTAGAAACCGGCTACTTCAGAAATTTTAATGAATGAGAAATACTTGCAAACTTTCTCTGCTGATTTAAGACTTTTCATTGAGCATTATTAGTTTTCTTAAGCTCCCTGAACATATAAGACCTGTTGAGAGATGCTTAATATCGTCAAGGGCTTTTTTAAGAACGTTCTTAATTCCTTATATTCTCTATTATATCTTTTATAGACATAAGTAAACCTCCCAATCAACCCATCTTGATGTTGGTCAAGTTTTTCCCTCAGACTTTCTTTTCGCCTGCCTTCTTTCACTCTTCTCAATACCTTGACTACTACTCATAGCTTTGTTACACATGTCTTCCGACTCTGATTTTCTCCTAGATTTCTTTTGATAATTTAAAATAATTCGTGGAATAAAGAGTTGGAAGCACTCTGCACATATAGGAAATTCCTACAGAATCATTATTACAGCCTCTTCTTCCCTCTGAGACATTAATTTGCAGCTAAACTTTCATATTTGCAGAAGCACCCACTTCTTAGAATGCTGTAAATGTTTGCTTCATGAGCCTTGGGAGTTAGCTCAACTGAACTTTAGATTGGAAAACTGTCCTGAACAACCATTCCTCGTTTATGACAATAACATGAAATTTTACATATTCGACTCTGGGTTGATTAATCCTATCATATAGGAGAGCTCAGACCTCACAAAAGAATCTTGAAGCTTGCTAGTGAGTCTGGTAAGCTATTGGCCAATGCTTTGGTGCTAGAGTACCCAGAATATCTGCCTAGTGTAACTATAGTAGCCTTTTCTCTTGGTACCGAAGTAGCTCTCTCCTGTCTTGAAGAGCTCCACAGGCTCGGAGCTACTAATATTATTAACAATGTCTACCTCCTAGGAGGGGCTACTGCAATCCCGGAGAATAGACATGATATCTTTGATGTGATCAATGGAAGACTGATACACGTATATACTCTTTCAGACTGGATCCTGATTTTTAGCAAGTTCTTTTTCGGAAGAGACCAATTCGGCTTAAAATGGCTTGGTAAGATATTCAATATTCCAGACTATGGAAGCTAACATTTATGATAGATGAAGATTTAGTAAAGAAGATCGAGAGCGACGGAGTAGAAGTGGAGCAAATCGAAATCTCTGAAGTAGCAAATGGACATAGAAGGTTCCGTCCCAATTTGTTAAAGTTAATGGAATATATAGATTTTCATTAAAATCAGCATTTGTTACTTGAAGTTATTATTCTTACCCATACTTCCCTTGCTCTAAATCTTGATTTAAGATATGTTGGGCAAAACTAGGAGTGTTATAGAGTAAAAAATAGTGGAAGCCTGATGGCTTAATAGAATACCTCTTTATTAGAACTACCAAGGAGTCTAATTTTTGAGCAGCATTAGATAACAGGGAATTTCAATAATTTATTGAATTATCGGGGTTTTGGGGTTTTGGGGTTTTGGGGTTTTGGGGTTTTGGGG